CACACACACACACACACACACACACACACACACACACACACACACACTTTTATTCCATGGGTGCCAAATAACCACTGGAAAGCCCAGTGCCATAGCAAACCCTGTGAATGGAGTCAGGACAGCCCAGAGCTGATCTGTCATCAGGACCCTGAGGGGCATCAAGCCCATGCTTTCACCTCTAAGCCTGGTTTCCTTCCTGGCAAAACCTGAAGAATAGGCAAGATGGTGCCCACAGGGGAAGCTCCCCAAAGCCCGCTGTGCCCGAAGTCTGTGTGCACACTCCCACTGCGTAGTGAACAGTCTGCTATTTCTCTTCCAGCTGGCCGGATCAGCCGTTATTGCATTTGGACTATGGTTTCGGTTTGGAGGCACCATAAAGGATCTATCGTCAGAGGACAAGTCCCCAGAGTATTTCTACGTGGGTGAGTGACTTCAGTTTCCCTAAGGGTTGGGCATGAGGGGCCGGGGAGAGGGAGGGGCCGCTGCCTCACCTCTGTTCCTAAGCAGTTCACCTGGAACTGGGGGCTGTGCCTCTGCGGCCCCCTCCTCTTCTCTCCAGGATGGAAGAAGGCCCCAGTAAAGCGGATTTGTTTCCTTAAAGAAGTCTCAAGGAAATGTAACCGAACTCCATCTTAAAGAGTTAGGAAATACCCTTGTCTCTGGAGTAGTTCACCAGTTCACGCAGGGTGTCATGGGGGCCCTGATGAGTCAATATTTTACTTTGCGATCCGGTGTTTGTTTTAACATGGAAACAACTCAAATACAAGAGTTACTTCAAATTTTGGGGGTGCTGATCTCAAAACTTCCATCAGAAGAGACTGCTGAGACAAGGGAAGAATCCCATAGAGGGGACAGGAGAGGCCTGTCCCTGGAGAAGGGGCAACAGCCACGTGTCCTGCCAAGACAGGAAGGAGGTGAGGTGAGGAAATGGGGGCGGGGCACAGGTGAAGCTGGTGTTCTTCTCAGGGGCTTTGGTCCCCCTAGTATTTAGCCCTTCTCTGCCCTCCTACAGTGGTTCCAGCATTGTGTCCTCATACAGCATAATCCAAAGGAGAAAAAGGAAGTTTTGCTTCACATGTCCTCTTCCAGAAGTCTCCTTTTGCAGCCTATTGACCAGAACTGCATCGTATTTCTATGCCTTAAGCAACCATGGTTCATGAGAAGATAGCAATGGCTGCCTCTCTAAGTCTTGGTCCTTAGTTTCCTTGTTATGCCTGGTGCTGTTTCTTGAGAAAAAAAAAACCCAGCCCTCCAAGTTTTGAGCATTGACTATGGGCATGCTTACCGTTGCTCACCATGGGCTAACAAGGGAAGATGTGGCTGAGGAACCAAGGTAGACAAGCCCATACTCATGCCCTGCAGCACCAAGGATGGGGAGAAGGAAGGATTCAGGCTGTTCATAGACTGCTTCATTGCTTTTGCTCTACTAGGTAATTCACTCATTCTACATCCGCTTGGCTTAAGAACACTTAGGCCAATAAGCAGCTGGCTACTTGATCGGCCTGGCGACCGGCACTAGAGCTAGGCTGGGAATGTAGAAGTAAAAGAACCATGTTTTACTGGAGTTAGCAGCCTGGAGCTTCTGACAACCATTGGATCATGGCAGGGAGGAGACAGAAAAGAAAGCTGAGCGAGGGTAGCCACAGGCTGGATTCTGGTTACGTCATTTGAGTCCCTGAGATGATGTCTGGTTATGTGTCTCACTATACTTTCATTATCCTCAAGTCCACCGGAGCAGGTTTCTATGGCTTGTCACCATAGAAGGATTCCTGGCATAAATGTCCACACAAACATGACCTGAAAACACATCTGTTTTGTCAGGGGCCGTGAGCGTCCCACTTGGCTTAGTTGAGACAGCAAGGCAGGAATGTCTGAGTAGAGCAGCTCAGGCTCCTGGTCAGTGCAGGAAGCTCTGGTGTTGGTAAACACTCAACCCTGGTTTTTGTCAAAGTGGTTAAATGCCAACATAAAAGAGAGCCCACTTTTGCCTGCCTACGTTTGCTCAACATTTTTGAGTTGAGAGATCACAAGATGTCCTCAGGTCAAAACCAGAACTGTACTGGAACTTACTCTATAGCTGATGATGTCTTTGAACAACTGTTCCTCCTGCCTCTGCTTCTGAAGTACTAGGATTACAGGTGTGGGCCACTATGCCTAAATGATATGTGAGATATATAAATGATTTGTGTGATATAAATATATGCATATATTTTAGAATATGTTTCAGAATCCAGGCCCGGTGGTACTTGCCTGTAATCCCAGTACTCAGAGAGGCAGAGGCAGGCAGATCTCTGTGAGTCTGAAGCCAGCCTGGTCTACAAAGTGAGTCCAAGACAGCCAAGGCTACACAAGAAAAAATCCTGTCTCAAAAAACCAATAAAATAAAAAAGAGTATGTTTCAGAGTCATCGGCTCATACTCACTGCCCGTTTGTTAAAAATTGCTCTAAACAGGCTAACATGTTCCAATGGTTTGTCAAGACAAAACCCAACCAGATGCAGTGGTCCCTGCCTGTAGCCCCAGCCTTTTGGGAGTGTGAGGAGGATCACAGAGAAGGAAAGAAGAGAAGCGTGCCAATCAGCCTAGAGGGAGGAAACCTCCAGGAAGACACATAGACCACAGGCAGACCTTGTAGGATTGCCCCATGTTTGCCGGGATGATCTCACTTCTAGCATCCTCATTCTCTCTCTGTGATAATGGAGTTTCTCTCTATCCTAAGGCTCTAAACCAAATATCCAAGCTGGATAGAGTGGTGGGCATTGGCCAAAGCAGGAAGACACAGCTGTGGGAAATGAGGACAGGGAGAGAGGGTAGTCAGGCCGACTGCCGCCTGCTGCCTCCCTTTGGTGTCCCTCTGGGCACAGGCCAAGGCCTCGAGGCTGACCGGGATCTCCGTGTCCCTTGGTTGCTTAGGTGAGGAAGGAAAAGGCTGGCAAGAGTGGCGCTGGCAGCGGGAGAGCTCGGGTTACTTGGGGTTTCCTAGACTTTCTCCACGCTAGTTTCTTTCAGGGAGAAAGCCCTGCCTCTTCCTAATTCCAACAACCTGCCCTTCCCCATGTTGTTTTAAATGATGCTTCGGGGTCTTCCAGGATCACAGAGTGGGGAGTGCTCCTCTCTGCCTCAGGGAGCTGGAGCCTGGGCTGGAGCACATGAGCTCACGTCTGTGTGCAGAGGATGTGAGCAGGTTTCTCCAGTGGGGGTGCCCACACAAACAGGAGGCACTTGGCTCTGCAGAGTCACAGCCTGGCTGCCTCTGTCTCCCCCTGCTGAACTCAGAGTCCCAGAGCCTGGCTTTGATTGTGGCTGGAGGTTGTGTGGAAGGAAAAGTGTTCCGTTGCTAAACATTCAGGGGCAGGCTTGCCTTTTTAAACGCTCTGACTCACCCTGGTAATATTTTTTAACTTCATCCCTGACACCACGCTAGCTGGATAACAGAGGCTACCTACCCTGTCTGGACAGCTTCTCCGAAGCCATTCTGTCAGAAATCAGAAGAGACAATTGTCCCAGAACTGCAGGTCGCTACCGTGAAGGAAAGGACTTGCCCACATCCAGTCTCAGAAGCCCAGAGTCCTCGACCCTAGCTCTTTTAGGGGAAACACCCAGGAAGCAGGAATGTCAGACATCTCAGGAACTCCTATACCAGTTAAACATGGCAGATAGATGGCTAAGAAACTCACTGTTCTAGGTCTCTACTGAAACCCCAGCCTGGGAGTTTGGGGTATACACTTTGGCTCAACTCCAATTTACCGGTCATAGCTGTGCAACTTTCATTTTCAGCATCTCGGACTCTGTATCTGTGAACTTGTGTAAGTGTGACACTGACTCAGCTAGGGGTGAGTTGTGAGTACATACTAACTCTCGCTGTTCAGGTACTGAGGGAACACAGATGAAAGGCCACCCGATGAGGGGGAACAGCACGACAGAGGAGCAGTCGGGGTGGACTTACAGACCAGCTTGTGACGTGGCCTTCTCATCAAGAAGGTCCTTGAGATGACGTGTATCAAGTGCGTAGTATATGCACTACCCAGAGAGGGCTGAGCCAACAGGAAGTGCTACTTCCCACCCGTGATGTGGACTGAAACCCATAAAGCATCTAGAATGCTAATGCTGATCGTTAGCTGCTGCAGCCGTATTTTAGAAAGCACCAAATATTTCCCATGAAATATATGCTTCTCAGACAGAAGCATGTATTACTCTAAACACAGATACAACTAACGCATAGAGTTGGTGATTTCACATCCACTGGTTCAGCACCTACAAATTCAAACAAACCCAGATCAAAGGTTTTTTTTTAATGCATCTCTTCTAAACATGCACAAACCTTTTCATGCCAGTCATCCCTAAATAATGAGTCTAACACCTATAGTGTTGTGCTAGATAGTATAATTAACCTAGAGATGACTTAGCGGATGCAGGAGGGTGTGAGTGGACTATATGCAAATACGATCCTATTTCATGAGGGGCTCACATATCCACTGGTTGGTATGTGAGGGATCTTGGGACTAATCTCCATGGAGACTCAGTGACTGATGGCAGTAATTATACGCATTCAAGGGAAGCTGGAAGAGAGAGTTCTGTGGAGACACACACAAAAAATTTTAGATGAGAAAAAAATTATCATTAGCAGGTTGCATAAGATGATCTTGCTGCCAAAAATCAATGGCGTTGGCGAGCATGCCAACACATCTATTCCCAACAAGGGATTTTAGATGAGGTTATGTCAGTGGGCCTCTAACAGGCCCTCTTGTTCCTTTGTTAGCTGAAACGATGCTACAAGAAAGATCTTCACTCTGAGGAGGAGGGATGTAATTGTCAGGGAAGAAGATGTCCCCAGAAAGCTGCTGCTGGCAGCATTTCACTGGCATTACAAAGCCCAGTCATCAATGATTTGTAAAATTGCTGTTTCAAAGGGGTTTCTTTCCTTCAAATCAAGGAAAATAGGGCTTAGAAAACATGAGAGATTTATTAAGTAGGTCACATGTCTGTCCCGTGTGCTGTTGGGGCACAGGGACTCCATGGATGCCATCTTGGAATTAAAATGTAGTTTTAAGGCTGAGTGTGGTGGCACATACCTTTGATCCCAGCAGGCAGATGTCTGTGAGTTCAAGGCCAGCCTGGTCTACAAAGTGAGTCCAGGACAGCCAAGGCTTGTTACACAGAGAAACCCTGTCTCAGAAAAAGAAAAGAAAAGAAAAATGTAGCTATAAGCTAACTGATCCATCTGCAGCTCTTTTTAAAACCATACCTTAGATAAGGTATCCTTGAAAGATGCAGGAGGCCTTACATTGTGCAGAATCTTAGAGCCAGATTGGACAGGCCCAAGGAATTGTGCATGTGGAAATTCTCTGTGATTCTCTCCAGCTCCACAGAAAGTCTCCTTTGGAACCAGGAGGACAGTTGTATCTTTTCATGCAAACAGAGGCTTACTGTGGAGAGGTCTCGCGAGCCAAAGCTGCTAAGACGCTTAGGTTGTTTTGCCAGTGCTAGGCGTTGAATTCAGTTGGAGTGAGCACATCTCCTGATTGTTGCCAGAGAGACCAGGTGAACTGTGCTCGCTGGGGAGATGCTCTGTCCTAAGTCCTCGGGGCTCCCCATACACTGGGAACCTGCCTTTTCAGGGGCATCATTTTCTGTTTCAGACCTTCTCAGGCTCTGAGGCCCCCTCCCACTTGGCTGACATTGGACAGCACAGCCCTTTGGTGACCTGATACATGCCCACGGCAATAGGATCTCAGAACATGTGTCTAAGCATAGATTTGTGGTCGGGTGAAGTAGCTGGTCCGGAACTTTGAATGTGTTTCACTCCATCCATGAGAGAAATATCTACTGACTGAGGGTTCCCACTTGTACACTTGTAAACAGGGTGTTCCTGAACTCTTCAGAAAATTATAGGAACCTGCAAACGCCTGATTCACAGCAAACCAGGACGTGGTCACACCACAATGCTCACAAGCTGTGGCATAGATGAGGATTTGGGGAACTGGACTGTAGGCTGTGAGCCTAACCTTATCTACGTACCGGACCAAACAGCAGCTGTAATGGCAGTGAGGGGAGGCAATGACCTTCTCAACAAGAAATCAGAAGGTTTAGATGGCTCTCCCCTGAGGCATTGTGGGAAGGAGCTGGCAGGGTGGTGCTGCTGCTGCTGCTGCTACAGCCTCCACTGCCACCACCGCCCCTTATTCAACCAGTTTCAGTTAGGGATGCAGGGTGGTAATCGGGGTCTGGCCTCTGACCTCTTGTAAAATCGCAGAGATTTCCAGGCTGCTTTGGGGAACCAAGGAGATGATGGAAATGAAAGAGCTTTGAAAAGTGACAACATCAGGACTATAAGGTGTCCGGGCCGTGGAGCCAACAATGCTGTTGTTTTTTTAAATGGTATCAGTTCTCTTGTAACCGCATCCATTCCCCCATGAAGCGATCCTCTTAGAGAAAAGGGAACCAGAGGAAGCGATAGGGTTGGGACAGCAGGAAATGTGCACGGCCCTCCAGACTGCAAAGCCAACGCTTCCCCGGCTTGGGAACCCCGAAGTACCTTGAGGACCTTTAGGCTAGGCTGGGCTGGGCTGGGCGGTACAGGAAGCAGTGTAGCTAGCTTGTGGCCTCATCTGGGTCTGTTCACAGATAGGCCTGCCCACAAACTGACTGCAAGCAAACTAGGGGAGCCCCAGGAAATGCCTGAATGTGAGACTCAGGGGTTGCCCACAGAGGTGGGACCCCAGCACCGCTGCCAACCCCACCCACCTCCGGGTGAATAAGAATGGTTTCCAGGTGACTCATCTCACTAAAATGCAAAAGAAAAAAAAAACAGAGCCCGGCAGCCTTACTCAAGAGAGTCAAGTGCCAGGCCTGGCATTGTGTTCTCCCTTATCTCAGGATCCGAGAAGGAAATCAGGAGGGCTTGGCTCAGGCCGCCCAGAACCAGCACGTTGGAGGCTGTCTGTTTTTTTTCTCTGTGAGGAAATCTTCCTGGGGCTTGACTTAGAAGGTGAAATCTCCAACCACCCAAAGTAAGGCTGCTGCTCCTGCCTGGGAGGCAGTATGGCCTCTTAGGGAGAACAGCAGCTGGTGACCTTGGGGCAGTTACTTGACTCTCTGTGAAGTCCTTAGTCCATGAAAGCTACTCCAGTCAACCTACCCTAGATGACGGCAGCAGGGCCTGACAGGAACAGCCCGTCACACATGGAGCCATTGTACTAAAGTTATCAAAAGGACAGTTAGCTCTTGGTGAGAACATGGTGAGCTAGTCTCCATTACCTTATTGTCCACCCTCATTGGCTGGTTTGGGGTTTTGGTCTTTGTCCTTTGTTTTTTGGTTTGGTTTGCTGTTGTTTGTGGGTTTTTTGTTGTTGTTGTTGTTGTTTGTTTGTTTGTTTCTTTGGTATTTTGCTTTATGTTTTATTTTGTAACATGCCTCCCATGTGTCCAAAATATGTGGCATTGCCCCCTAAAGGAGAAATATGCACACAAAACTGATCATGTGCCTATGTCCTGTGTTCCTGTCCTTGCCCAAATCCCTGCTCTGTTCCCTCCAAGCCTCTCAGTGATGAGATGGCCATCAAGTCCAGAGGACAAGGGGCTCTGGGGCTCAGGAGAAGGCCTGGACTTGTGTCCCAGCTGTGAGACCATCTCCTGATTACCCCCAGACTCGCTGTCTGGGGATTTAGGGGGGTAGTAGAGCTTCCTCTGCATGAAGGTGCAGCCTTGAGACGCAGTGTTTGGACTTCAGGAGGCCTGTGGTGCTGTCCATTGCAACAGCTCTGAGCAGTAGGTACAGGCGGCCTCTTTGCCACTTTGGCTGTGCGCTCTCAGCCAGGTTGCCTGGCTTCCTTCAGGTTCATTTTCCTGCTATGTCCACCGTTCTGACAGTAGATGCGATGACTTTGCTGAGTGAGCCAGTATGTACGAGATGCAGACCATAAGCATCACCCTTGCGGGCAGGTGACGGCAGAATGTTCTGCAGAGATGCAAGCCAGAGCTTAGTTGGTATGTGGGACAGGGCTCTTGTCTCCTGCAGTGTTAGTGGTTGGCCCAGCCTTGGTCAGGCTCTGATGGTCTCCCTGGCCTCTCGTCCACAGGGCTCTATGTGCTGGTTGGAGCCGGGGCCCTGATGATGGCTGTGGGTTTCTTCGGGTGCTGCGGAGCCATGCGTGAGTCACAGTGTGTGCTCGGATCAGTAAGTGGGGTTTATGGCATGGGCACGGGATGGCATGTTTATGGCAGGCTTCCCCGGAGGGAGTCAGGAGACCTTGTTAGAAGTGCGAGCGCCTCTAGGACATAAAGCCTCGGCACTGGACCCCCTCTCTGATGTCTGTTTTCCCCATCTCCTGCGTGAGAATAATATTATCTTTGTTCCGGCCTCATATGGAAAATGTGAAAACAATGAGGTCATCAGTGTAAAGATGTTTGGGGAAGAGTGCTTAGGAATTGATTGTTCTTTGAGAAATAATATTTCATTGTGGATGAGGCAGCTTAAAGATTGCCATAGCCAGGAAAGAACTGTTATCTACAAGGAAAGCATTTTGGGTTAAGATCAATAACTTAGTCAGACATCCCTCTGGTGCCTTATTTTAACCAGCAGCTTCTGTTTGAGAAAACAACAACAAAAACAGTCTCTGTTACTTGCTACCCAGCCACTGCTCTGAGGCCTAAAGGAGCTGAGTGGCAGAAGAGAGAAGGTTCTGGACTTCTCGCCTAAAGCAGGGTGTTCTGAGACCCCTCGTCTCCCATTCCCATCGCACTCTTCAGGCTTTCCATGTGTGCCTGCTGCTTCTGATCTATGGCATGTGAAATGTCTGTTTTTTTCTCCTATACATTCTTTCTTTCTCTAAAAAACAACAAAACAAAACAAAAAGGCTGAGAAGCTCTGTTTTGTTTACCACAGAGCTGAGTTTGATTAGCAAACCGAAGACCTGGCAGACCTTTATCTATAAGGGGACACACACACACACACACTTCTTCTCCTCTCTCCCTCTTCTCAGAGAAGCCTTCCAGACCACAACACTCACATCACACTCTTCCCCGAGCCCAGGTGTCGCTGGCAGCCATATTTCCTCTCCACAGAGCTGACTTGGTCATCAAGTATTTATTGAGTATGTCAATGCTGGGTGCTGTGCTAGGTGATAGGGTTTCTGTGTGACTGTCTAATATTCCTTTATCCATTTTTAAAAGCTTTGTTCATTTACTGTATCTTCTTGCCCAATACAAGCTTTATGATAATGGAGAGGCTGGGATCTTGTCTACCATTGTATAGCCAGCACAAAGGACAGAGCCTGGCACAGAACGCATGCTCAATAAACAATTGTTCAGTGAGATGACAGACAAGCCACACAAAAGTGCCTGAATAGTTGCATGACGGAGACAAAGTGGGTAAAGAGTCCCTATTATCGGCCACATAGCCCGACCCATTGCCTTGCCGGGGGAACCAGATGCAAACAGGGTAAATGAGTTGAAAGGGTATTAAATTAATGAAATTAGTATTTTCTCTCCACAGTTTTTCACCTGTCTGCTGGTGATATTTGCTGCTGAAGTAGCCACTGGAGTATTTGCTTTTATAGGCAAGGACGTAGTAAGTAGAACCTACAAGTTCTCGTGGTTGTTAAGGCATTTTTCCCATGTCAAATGTTATAGAATACCCAATGCAAAATGTTATTAAGAAACAAAATGTCCCCCCCTCCAAATTGTGTAAGTAGAACCTTTGAACTTAGTATTGTACAGACCTCTGCATGTATATATGAGTGGTAATATATGGTTTCTATTTAATGTATAAACTGGTCTGTGGTTGGTTGGTTGGTTTTTGTTCGTTTGTTTTGATTTTTAGGATTTCTAGTTTCAGGTTGTGCCTAGCTCAAAGTGAGGCAGGCATTAGGTTACAGAGAATGGGGCAAGGAGGAAGACCCTACCTTCCTGTCTCTCTGACTGTCACTTATCCCAACGGCTTGGCCTAGACAGGGGCCACACTATTGTGAGGAGCTAAAGCCTGGCCTGCTGCATGCACGTAGCAACCTTAGTGCCCAAAACAGGTTATAAGGAGAGTCCACAGGGCACATGGCCTTTTAGAAGGATAAGAAGCCTGTGACACAGAAGAGTGGAAAGGAAAAGAAGGAAGGATAGAGCCTCGAGAGGGTTGTATTTCCAGTGAACTCATGTGCCATCCACACTGTGTATATGAGCTTAAGCGTAAAACTGATAAACATAAAAAAATGAGTTACTGTCACCCCTATGAAACTTTCTTAACATGGCTGCTTGTATCCGGAGGTTACAAGCTTCAGATTAGCTCCATATGGAGCTGAAGTCTGTGGATTTAGGGGTCATAGGTCTTTGCCCTAGAAAAAGCATTTACTAAGCTGCGTGTGATATCTGGGTGCAGAACATCTTCCGTGGCAGTGGACATCTGCCTTTCGGCTGGCATGGAACCACACTGTCACAGATTTCACCTCGAGGGGCTCACCAGGAGCTCCAAGATGGGCCCAGCTGACAGTGGAGCCACTCGGGTTTAGAAATCCCCACTGTAGGAGGCGGGGCTGATGTAGGAAAGCATTCTTGGTCAGCTTGTTCTTTCATCTTCAAAATCGTCTCAGGAGCTCCAGAATCTGCGTTTTGCTCTGTGGGTGCAGAAACATCTTAAGATACGAGGCATGTGAGGAAAAGCAGGGTTCCCAAACGACACAGAAGGGGGAATTTTTCTTTGGTAAAGAGAAAGTATCTGCAACTTCCCCATTGTTTTTCCAGGCTATACGACACGTACAGACCATGTATGAGGAGGCATACAGCGATTACCTTAAAGACAGGGGAAGGGGAAATGGGACTCTCATTACCTTCCACTCGGCAGTGAGTAGCCTTACTTCTTCTTTGACATCACATTTTCTCCTAGTCGTGTGTAGGCCAGGCTCTCTCTAATTGTCTAAATTAAAAATAAAAATAGGCCAGACACCGTGCACAAGGTGCACACCTCTAATCCCAGCACTCGGGGAGGCAGAGGCAGGCAGATCTCTGTGAGTTCAAGGCCAGCCTGGTCTTCAAAGTGACTCCAGGACAGCCAGGGCTACACAGAGAAACCCCACCTGGAAAAAAAAAAAAAACAGGAAAGAAAGATAGAAAGAAAAGAAAGGAAATAAATGGAAGCAGCTGTGTCTTATTTTAACTCTGATAAGAACCGTAGCTCATACTTTGTGTAGACCTTTGGCTAGAATGAAGCCTACCTCAGATTCACAAGAAGTCAGCATGTGTGCCCAGAAAAGACCAAAAAGCATGAGCAGGACCCTGGGAAAGCCACCCAAATGCATGTCATTCCTCTCAGAGGTGACACTGTGGTGTGACGGAAGCAAGCATGTTAGCCTTCAAGCCAGAAACGCTCAGCAGCAGCGCTCCGTCTTAGCAGCTTTGGGACTCTGAGTGAGTTAGTTAGACCTCTCTGAAACCTGCTCGGCTCACTCCTCATTTGTAAAATGAAGGTGGTGGGAAGACAACTGTATTCCCTTCCAGAATGTTCCATGGAAATGTGCTGGCGTGTGGTGTTTAGAGAAAGGCTTACAGAGGAAAGGGGCCAGACCGGGGCCGTTCTGTTTTCTTAAACGCTGCACTTCTTCTTTGGAGAAGTAACTGTGAACTTCTGGACCATGTGTTTCCAGGTACCTGGCTCTGTATGACAAGAGTGTCTTAGAAGGTTCCTCAGAGACATCAAGCAGCACACAGATCCCTTTGTCTTAAGCAGCCAGCCCCAAGGCAGGGTGCCTGTTTGCCAGCCAGCATTCATGCCTTCTCTTGTGGCCCTGGGCTTTCCTGTGGCTACCCCTCTTCTTTTCTCAGATAGTCCCTGGCTAATGAGCCCTTCCTAAAGCTCAGAAAGCTTTGCTCCTTCACAGGTTTTTGGATGTCAGGTCTGAGGGAGCTAGCACGTCAGGCCCCTTCTGTCTTTAAGGTAGCGCTTCATGGAGGACACCAGCAGTTGGCTCCTCGCCTTACACCACCTTGAGTCACTTCATGTCGTAAGACATCTGCAGCTTTGGAGAAGTCCTGTTCCTGGGTTGCTAGCACAGTTCTTTGATTCTTCCTTCGCTCTCCAGAAATAGCAGTTTGAGCCTCAGAGCTGCTTTGTGGCCTTGGCACTGCCAGGCAGCAGAGATGCTGAGCCTTGGAGCCAGCGTTCCTGCCTCCTGTATCCTGAAGCCTCTTCTCACTCTCTAGTTTCAGTGCTGTGGAAAAGAAAGCTCTGAACAAGTCCAGCCCACGTGTCCAAAGGAGCTTCCAGGCCCCGAGGTAAGCTGGGTGGTTCCAGGTTCCCTTCACCAGCCCCCGACTGTGAGGAGGTGTTGATGACAGTCGAGGCAGAGAGGCTCAGGTCTTCCTTCCAGGGATTCTAGGTGGCTGTCTCCCTGTGCATCCTGAGCCTTACTCATGCCATGTGAAATAGACAGCAACACCAAGTCAGGTTCCTCATACTCTGGGGAACGACGGGAGGCTTGATTGCCAGTGGCTATGCCATTGGTTCACCAGGGCCAGAGGTCTGTGTTCCCCACATCTTTCTGGGACAGTAACAGCTCTGGTAAATTTAACTGCTCTGTCAGGTATTCTACAAGTATAAGAGAAGAGACAGTCCCCCCCTCAGTGGCTTCATAGGCTAGCCCATGGCTGTGGTGATATGCAAAATGTCTGTCCAGGGAACCATGGAGACAGCAGAAATAGGGAAGCTTGGAGTGGAAGGATATGAATCTTGTCGAAGGGGAATCAAGAAAGAAGCCAGAAGAGGGGCATGCCGGGAAGATGCTCTGTTGGTGTAGAACAGGAGCTCAGAGGATTGCTGATTAACATTTCCAGGAGCGACAAACTTGGCTTTACACCTGGAGGTGTGAGGAAGCCATCGCTGTCAGCGGACTGTGAATCCCTTTTGCCTCGAGAAGGTCCTCAAACCATCTGTGCCTGGAAGGTAGACTGGAGGGCTGCAGGGTCATGACGGGGCCTGATGCAGGTGGTGCCTGTCTCAGATTGGACGCAGAGGGGAAGGGCTGTTCAGAGGCGGAACCTACGGCGCAGGGAGACCCATTAGAGGGGGTCAGGGTTGAAGGATCCCTGCCTGGGTGACCAGGGGGACAGAGGCACTGCTCGCTGAGAGCTCAGTAGCATGAGAGGAGTTCCGAAGGCAGATGAAGAATCAGACTGTAGGGTCTGAGGATGACACAGGGCTGGGGATCTCAGCACACGGACAGCAGCTGGAGCCGTAGGAGTGAACGAGGACACCTAGGGAAAGGGTGTACAGAGTAAGGAAGAGAAGTGACATTGTCCTCTAAAGGGTAAGGTGAGGTCAAGAAGCCAGAGGAAGAGATTATGAAGAGAAAGTCAGAGTCCAGACTGGTGCCTGGGAAGCCCAGGGAGGAAGTGGTTTATCCAGAGTCAAGTAGGAAGAAGACAAATAAATGAAGGTTAAAGACCCTTTCCTGGATTTGATGCTTACAGGGTCCTTAGTGACCATGTCAGAAACTCAGTGAAGTAGTTGCAGAGAGCACAGGTACAGCACGGTTAGGTAGAGATGTGAGACTGTGGACAATGGTGTTGATACATTCAGGTACTTGGCAATGAAGGGATGAGAAACAGGCCTCACCTGTCACGAACTGCCACTGGAAGCATTGCATCAGGCTGACAAAGACCTGTCTGGAGCTGTTAATGCCACTGAGCTAAGTGATGGCTATATTAAAAGGAGCATAGCGCACTCACCAGGGGCCCAAAGGAGTCTGTGGCTGTCGAGATGAATTGCAAAGGGTGAATGGAAGGCGACATTCCAGACTGAAGGAAGACAGTTGTTTGCAGATAAGTCCATCTTTGAGTGGAAACAGAAAACCCAGGATACCTGTGAGAAATGACTTCTTCAAAGAAGAGGGACCCATTCTTCAAGGGATATGCTCGTTTCCTGGGAAATCTATTTCTGTTCACCCAGTGTGGGACCAAGAAACAATCCCACCAAGTCTGGTTTGCTGAGCCAATGAGTTTACTGGGGTTACTCACGGGAGCATGAGGAAGGAGTTACTTACAAGACAGGTAACTTAGACAGGCATATCAACAAAATGACATGTAGCATGGACATCAACACCTGAAAACTACACATGAGAGTCTCCTTTGCACGCGGCAGGCAGCTACACTGTAGAGGAGGCTCCTTCTCTCCCAGAAACTGTCTACACCTTATGACAGTGGGGAAAGGTCTAGGCTGTCTTGGAATTTTCTGAGCTCTCTGAGTCTTGTAAATTTCTTGCGAGGTTTTCATGGGCCTGGTGAGCCTCCTTCCTCTCTCCAGGAAAGATGTTTTCAATGCTGAGATAGAGCTAAGGGTTGGATTGAATTTGCATTTTTATTGAGTTTTGCTGGGATCAAAAACAAAAAAGGTTGATAAGCCATCAACAAAAAAGGTTGATGGCTGATGAATAACCTGGAGTTGAGCTGATCCAGCGAGAAGACTTCACTGCTCCTTGCCGCTCACATGAGGTTAACGGCGACAAGCTGGACGGGAGGGCGGGAGTGCGGAGGAGAAGGTGACATCATCAGTACTAATGACCCCACAGGTCATTATCAGAGAAGATGAGAATCCACCACTGGGTTCTGGCTTCTTCACCTCTACAGAAAACGGTGTCATTCACGGAATTAATGAATGCAGGAGAAAGAGCCAATTATAGAAAAAGGAAACAGTACAGTGAGTGTTTTAAGATCTATGTAAATTATGCATCTCTAGGGAGGAAAGATACGGATATGCACATGGATGCAGTTACCCGGGAGGCCAGAGAAGTCAGATTCCCCTGGAACTGCAGTTACAGGAAGTTGTGCACCACCTGACACCGGGGTGGGGAGCCAGACTCAGATCCTCTACTCTTAACCATGGCCCATTCTCTAGTGCCTGGTTTAGTGTTTTCAACATTGTGGTTTGGAAAATCTGGTGTGTGGCTTAGAAGAGACGTTACAGTACCGATGACATGTAATTTTGGAGTTGTAGATACGGATTTGACTCATGAGATTTTGAAGAAAAGGACAAATGTGAATAAATGTCTAAGCAACAACCCCATTTAAGGCTGGGCAAAGGGGAGCAGCCAATTAAGGAACCAGAGGGAGGAGGACACCCGGGAATGACAAGACCACTCAGTGTTTACTGATTCTGCCTGTCAAGTACTGCGGATGCAAAGATGAATGGACAAGCTCCCTACCAACAAGGAACCTGCTGGCTATTAGGATATGTAAATGCTAGAGTTGACACGGTGCACCGTGGGGGTGTGGACAGAGTTTGAATGGTGCTCTACACGCCCAGGGAAGACATGTAGGAGACACCAGGCACAGGGTGACTGGGCAAAGACTGAGTGCAGATGACACCTCAGCTACATCTTCTACATGGAGAGGTAATTATGTAGTTTGAGCCAAGCACAAGAAAAATGAGTTCACAAAAGATGAAATGCAAATGACTATTAGACACATAAAAAGCATGGGCGATCAGAAGCAATCTTGAATTAAAAGCAAATTTAAATAAGATTCCATTGTTTAACGTGTGAGATTGACCAAGTTTTTCTTGTTGTCTTGGTTTGTTTGTTTGTTTGTTTGTTTTCTCTTACTGATAACACAATACAGGCAAGAATGGTGTTAAATGAACATTTTTAAAAACTGGTACAACAGTCCTAGAGAATAGCACTGTCGTGTAGCCAGGGAATTTAAGTGAGCTCGTGTTCTTTGATCTAGACATTCTTTTTCTCAGAATTTATTCTAAAGAAACGAACTGTTTTAATGTGTGCAGGAGCTAGGGAGATAGCATAGCTGATAAACTGCTTGCCACACGAGCATGAGGACCTGACTTTAATCTTTGGTACCACATACAAATCGGGGTGTGGTAGAACTGCCTGTAACCCCAGTGCTGGGAAGGTGGAGACAGATGATCTCTGGAGCTCCCTGATCAACCGGCCTTTCCTAGTTGGTAAACCCCAAGTTCCATGTAAGACCCAGCACCAAAACACAAGAGCAACAGCTCCTGTGGCACACATCCACAAAAGAAAAGTGGGGCAAAACACAGAGAGAAATTTTTGTGCAGTGGTATTCATTACAAAGAAGATACATTAATAACCAAATACTGATTTCTTAATATGCAACAGAGGGATATTGTTTAAATTATGATCCCTTCATAGGATAGGTTTTATTGCCACTAGGAACTACAATTTCAAAAAATATTTAATGAAAAGAGATATTTTTAAAGTCCCTTCCTATTGAGTGTAAAAGCACACAGATATAAAAAAGTGAGCTGGGTGTAGGGGTCTTTTCTATACACAAGAATCACCAGCAGTACTAGTTATGATCTGAGCAGAGGACAGATGTTTCTTATTTTCATTTTATTAATGTCTATTTTCCAAAATTCAATGACTGTGTATTCCCTTGTGAATAAGGAAAGCCAATACATGTTTTGTAATTTGTTTTTCACAAAAGAAGCTGTCTGTGGATGGAAAGAAAAGCTGTCGGCAGGGCTGGAGGAGGGCAGCAGCAGGAGACAGGTTGCTTTGCTGGCCTTTGAGTGAAAACACTGAGCTCTGAGAGACAGAGGGTGAACGCACAGGAAGTAAAAAGGGTGGCTGGCAGGCTTCCTGAGAGGGGGTGAGATCCAGAGCTCATCTTCCGCAGAGAAGGGCACCTCGATGGCTCTGAGGGAAGGGAGAGAAGCGGCAAAGGGATGCTCCTGTCTTTTGAGCACTCGCCATCTTCAACAGTGCTGGCACAGAGGAAGGCAGTCTCAGAGTTCAGGTGAAGGGAGGAAGGCAGGAGTGCTGCAGACGGATTGGTTTTCTCTGGCATGCCAGGAAGCCGCTGTCTCCAGCCCTGCTCCACGCTTTCACCAGAATGCATTATCCTTCCTCTGTGGCTCTGCGTCCTCTCCGCCAAGCTTTCCGAGAGCAGAGGAAGCTCACTGCGCCGTGTCCACCCACCCAGTCCAGCGGCTGGCACGGGGTCTGCAGAATCAGTAAACGTAAGACGAGATGTGAGAGCAGTTACCTCTTCATGTAACTATATGGGTGTCAGCAGCCCCTAAAGATCTGTGTGCCCTGAGGACACTTCTGGGCAGGGCATACCTCTGTGTAGGAAGACTGCAAGTTTTAAGTGTTTGTCCCTGAGAAACTAATAATGGTCCCACATGCTCCCTTCTGCCTCCTGCCCAGTTTATACCCCTATCTATGAAGGTTTTTCAAACCCTTTTCACAGATCTCTTAAGAGTCAGAGATCAGAACCAACAGCCCAGCTAACAGTGGAGGGAATGATCTTCTAACTCCCAAGACATAGTTTTCCTAAGTATTGGCTTTCCATAATTTAATCCAACCCCATGCAGACTTTTTAGTCTCTAAATAGTAAAGCGTGCCTTGCACAGACAAATACATCAAGTGTATAACACATCTGTTAAGCTGTAAATAGCAAAGAAGGTTATTATTTAGAGAATATCCTATCATTCTTTGCTGAAAGTAAGAAGAGGCCTAAGTTTTGCGATGCCTGGTGTTCCCTAGAAATGGCTTTGTGGAGCCATATTTCAGAGCTCTGAAGCAGACCATTGGCCTAAATAGAGAAAATCACCAAAAAGAAGAGGATTACATTTACCCCCAACACTAGCTTTGTAGTTGTCAGGTTGACATAACTCATGAGGGATGGTCTGCACATGAGCAGAAGCTGACGCGGATTAACTCACAGACCCATCTTAGCAAAGGGAAGGATCGGGTCAGGAGACAAGTCACACAATCAATTTTTATTGCTGACTTATTTTCCAAAACAGAATTGCATCGACAAAATTGAAACCATAATCAGTGTTAAGCTCCAGCTCATTGGAATCGTCGGTATTGGCATTGCAGGTCTCACGGTAAGTTCTGGAATGTAATCCTTTTGTCTTCTAAGAGGCATTAGACCCTTACATCGTATTTCTGTGCAAATTGGAGCTGGCAGTATCTTAAGTGACAAGTCTCATAATGGGTAAAGACCTTGGTTCACAATACAACCCCTCAGACAAAGCTAATTACACACATCAGTAGTAACCCTTGTAAAATACGATACACATGCTAGAGTCTACCTAATCATAGCCGTGACTTTATCATTGCAATAACTTCCCATTTAAACCTGTCACTCACTCTTAACCTCGGTAAGTGATTTCAACTCACAGTAACAAGATAGCAAGTGAGTCTCTTCATCTGCGCACTGATGGGACAGCAGAGGGCAAGCATTAGTATCGCACAAACTGGACTCCACCTCCTGGTTCCATTGCTTTCCCATAAGCCCTGAGACTGAAGGAGAGTTTCTTAATCTCTCTACATTTCAACTTCAATATTTATAGAATGGGAATTTTAAACACACCAGTCTTGCACGATTATTATGAAGGTCAAATGGGATAAAACCTATTACCTATTGTTACAAATTGATTTACATAAAATCCTAATTTTGCATTTAATAAGTACCATATTTCTATATATTTTTATTCTGGGCAAACCCAGAATTTAAGCAAGAAAATTGTCATATGTAAAGGAATGAAGCATGCTGTATGCAGCATCTGTTGGTGGCTCAGTACTTTAAAAGTATAAGAGTGTGTGGAAGAGAGGTTGGGGGTGTAGCCCTGTTTAGAGTACTTTCCTGGCATATACAAAACTCTAAGCTCAATCCCCAATACTGCATCACTTAGGCGGTGGTGGCAAAGGGATCAGAAATTTAAAGTCATCTCTGCTACATAGTGAATTTGAGGCATGCCTGGGCTGGCTACATGAGACCTTGTTTTTTAAAATATGTATGGGGAAAGAATTGGTAGCCCTGGACAGGTATGCCAAGAGTGGCAAGGAGGTCCAGCAGGGCCACGTAATTGAAGGTTTTGTGTGCTCTTCTGAGAGACTGAGCATCTGGCACTCTCTTAGGGTTCTATTGCTATGAAGAGACATAACGATGGCAACTCTTATAAAGGACCACATTTAATTGGAGCTGGTTTACAGATTCGGAGGCTTACTCCATTATCATCATGGCAGGAAGCATGGCAGCATACAGGCAAACATGGTGCTAGAGAGGTAGCTGAGAGTTCTACTGCTTGATCTGCAGGCAGGAGAAGGAGACTGTCACACTGGGCATAGCTTGAGCATAGGAGACCTCGGAGCCTACCTACACAGTGATACACTTCCTCCAACAAGGCCACACCTCCTAATAGTGCCACTCCCTATGGGCTTAGCATTTAAACATGAGTCTATGGGGGCCACGTCTATTCAACCCACCACAAGCACCTTCAAGACTGGAAGGACCTGTGGTGATGAATGGATGAGGAAGGGTTGAAAAGAGGTAAGATTGGAGTCAGAGCCCAGGGAAGAGGTGATTGCCATTATCCAGAATTTGAGCAATGGTAGTTAATGTTAAGATAGAATTTACTTGCTAGTCTGTGTATAGATTAACTTATGGTCTACACAAAGGCGGACCTACAAGGATGTTGAGGAAATCTGTGAATTGGTTCTTCTCAGGGGATACTCAAGCACTTTCCTTCTTTGTATCCAGAACAGAGGGTGAGGCAGTGGCTAGAAATACTATGCTGAGGCCCTCAAAATCCAGGGATATCTCACAGGTCCTCCCCACATGCTCTGGGGCTAGCCTCATTGCAACTCTGCAGCTCCCCAGTGATGATGCTGAAGCAGTGTCTTAGTCAGAGTTTCTATTGCTGTGATGAAACACCATGACCAAAGCTACTAGGAGAGAAAAAGTTTTATTTGGCTTACTCATCCACATCACCATTCGTCACCTAAGTCATGACCAAAACTCAAACAGGACAGGAACCTGGAAGTAGAAGCTGATGCACAGGCCATAGCGGGGTTCTGCTTACTGGCTTGCCCTCCATCACTTCCTCAGACTTCTTTCTTATAGAGCCAGGACCACCAGCCCAGGGATGGCACCACACACAGTGGGCTGGGCCCTCTGCCATCAATCACTAACTAAGAAAATGACTTACAACCAGATGCTATAGAGGCATTTTCTCAACTGAGGTTCCTTTCTTTCAGATAACCCTAGCTTGTGGTTGACATAAGACTAGCTAGCACAAGCATTTTGGAAACATCCCACAAAATGAAGGTATCAAGTATACTGTCCTAACAATCAGGCCATCTCAACCATTGCACAGCATGGATGCAGTCAGCCCTGACCCATGACCACAGCAAGCTGAGAGTGAAGGAATCTCTCAGAGGGAACCCCTCAGACTATACCAAGGACGAAGTGGGGGCACCTTCAAACTTGTAGCCCTGGAAAAGGGGAAATACTCTTGCTTGTCTGCCTTGAGTCAGCCCCCAGGAGTTTCTTCCCGAGTTCTTCCATAGGCAAGACTGCAGTGTAATCGCTTAACTAAAATGCCCATTCAGTGTCTCCCCTGCCACACACAGATGCTAAAATTCTTGCTGGCTAAGTCCTTCCCTCTGTCTGTGTTTGCCCTCCCAGGATAACTCCTGCCTGGATGCATTAAACATTCACAGATCCTAGTCTGTGTTAGGATGGGATTGAGGAGAGATCAGAGTTATGGTACAAATTTTAAAAACAAACATTACCCGTCGTTACTGAGGCACTCGCAAACAGGATTCCTCTGGCTGTGGACTCGTAGAGGTGATGACGGGGAATACCAAGAAGAACCTTGTGGTATTCTTTTCAAACCATAGGGACAGTAGTTACATCCAGGTATTTGGCTTCTCAAGAGAACTATCCAAGAGACAAAAGAAGTCGGAAATATTATAGCCCCATTCCTTCAGTTTATATTTTGGTAGAACTATTGAGTTTAACAGTCATGTACCATTTGCACAGATCTGGGCCAACAATGAAGAGAAGCCCCACTGTTTAACAGGGCTTCACTGTTCTAGGAATTAAAGCTTTTCTGACAGTTATACCATAAGCACGTTTACCTAAGAATTTAGGAGCATTTTTTCTGAACAAATAAAATAATATCACCTGAAATATAAAATTTAAAACCCATAAATATATCAGACTTTTGTAACTGTTAAGAATTGTAAGCCAGAAACAGAAACAGCCCTTTCTTAAAACAGATGTGTTTGTTAAGATAGATAACAGCAATTCAGCAAGGCTGACACAGGCATCTTGCTTGGTAGCCACCCTTAAGAAACATAGGAAAATGTTATTTACAGCCGATGTTGTTGGTTCTGATTATTTAGTAACTTGAGCTAGAGACTGCCACAGTTTGCTGGTCTTGCTATCGAATCCACACATGAAAGTTGCTAATGAGTGTCTCTTTCTGTCGCAGATCTTTGGCATGATATTCAGCATGGTGCTTTGCTGTGCAATACGAAACTCACGAGATGTGATCTGAAGATCCTTCATCATGGAAATTGCAATCTAGAGTTTTCATACTAAATGTCAACAAGAGCTTGCTCAGCTCATGTTTAATATTCAGGATATTAGAAGCTAAAATAATTTTCTGTTGACTGTATATTTGCACATGTATGTATGTATGTCTGACCCATTACTGATTTGACCCTTGGGTGAATGTCACATATGGTCTGTGTGTTTCTGGTATATGCATTGCACATACTGACATGTTTCCTGGGGATCCCTAGTTCTTGTATGCAAGGAAAATAACCTCTTTAAGTACCAGGAAAAAAAGCAGCGATAGACTTCTAAAAGCTGGCTATTCGGGAAATGTAATAATGGGTCCATTTCTCAGATTTTAGCCAAGAAAGTTAGATACATAAAGAGGATGCAGGCTTTTTAGTTAATGGAAGCAATAAGCTATATGAATTGAGGGGTCGTGGAGAAATGTCGATTGACCACGTCTGAGTTGAGTGTAAAAGTTTCTTGGAGTATATAAATATATTTTCCCCAGAATACAGTAAACCACAGTTTCAGAACTAAACACATCTGTAAAAGTAAATATAGCATGGAAAAATCTAATTTGAAAAAGTCATGCTTTCTTAGCATTTAAAAACAGAAAACCTCTCTCTGCAAAGAGAGTTACATGGGTAAGCATGCGCCCCATAAAAGTGAGTGCTTTTAGGACTAAATATGACAACTTTTAAGGGGAAGAAATGTTGTTCTACAAAGACCCCTCTCCTTTCCTGACTCAGCTTTGAACCGCTGAAAGCCTCGCCTTCCCCAAAGGGCTTTTATCTCACATTCCTTAGTGCTTTTCCAGATGAGGTGACGCAAAAGCAAGAACTCTGCAGTGCATGGTGGGAGAACTCTCGCTGCCACTGCACCTTCGGAATACCTCATAAATTAAGTTTACATAGTCTCCTAATTATTGGCATTTTTCTTATTTATCCATGTGGAGAATTCTCCAGAGATTAAGAATACAGTTTTATCTTTTAAAATAAATAAATCCCCCCGACTCAGATAGTATGTTATGGGGACCTTGTCTAAACCAAGATAAACACCTTCTCCATGATGTGTGAACACAACAAAAGCAAGTTAGTGAATTGAAAATATGTTTATATATACAGCTGCAGCACAAATAGATTCTTTATCAGAAAATCCCTGTGGAAATAAATGCTCAGGTTATTTAGGGGCCTGAGTTGTTGATTTTAAGTAGGAAAACCCAGGCACTCTCTGGCCTTTTGGCTGCAAGTGGAAAAACCCACAGTAGGGATCTAAACTTGGTTATTTGTTGTAATTTAACAACTTGTTAAAAGATGTAAATTACAGATTTTTAAAGATTGCATTTGGCCACACAAAGTGAAGGTGTGAGGAATAGCCACTGTGCCCACTAAGAACTTAAGACTTTGATATATGCTTTAAAAAAAAAAAAAAAAAGTGCTATGCTTCAAGAAACTTTTACAAAGTATTTGCTGCAAACACACAACTGCTGGGATGGTCTCGCCCACAGACCACTTTCCTCTTTCAGCTGTTCTTGCTACTGCTACTAACTTTGGAGGGAAAAAAAAAATGTGAGGAAATTAAAAGTGTAACTGTGTAACCTAAGCAAAGAGTATTTAAAGAAAAACTCACTTCATGACTTATATACTCCAGTAGTGGACAAACGCAACCTTTTAAGCAAAGAGTGATCAGTCTTTCTTATAGCTTTAGTTTATCTGTCCATCTGAAGACGGCAAACAAGCTCAAGTGTGTACTCAGGTTCCCCCAGCTCATAATTATTTCCCATTCCACAGAAATGAGATTCATTCCCTAGATAAATGAATAAGTTTAAAGAAAACCACAGTAACTATAAGAAGAATAGAAATAATTTTTTAATGCAGAGGAAGAAATCTAGAAATCTGTGTCAAGTGTGACTAGAGTACCTCTCCATGTGTTAAGCTTTCCAAAGAATGTGCCAAGAAAAATTAAAGAATTCCATCTCTGAGTAAAGATGGATATATATCTTTATGTGAATAGATAAAGCTATATCTATAGAGATATATAATCCCTATGTCTTTAACCTATACATATCTTAAATACATATCTCTTAAGGATATATACAGATGTAATTTTAATACATGTGTGCCTGTATGAAATTATGGAGATAAATGTTTGTATACACACCCATGCACATGTATATACTTTTTCAGTTATTTCTGTTTACCTGAACTAATTTGAGATCAGACCCGAACATTTTAAGTTATTTCAAATTAAATTTTCTACGTACTTACACTGCTTGAGTTACCTTAAAATCCGAGCGAGTCTTCTTACACACTTCCATGTGACTTATTTAAATGAGTGAACTGCCAATTTACCCAAACAATATGGTAAAAACAGACTGGTAATCCTTCCATACTGTTATTGTGAGATGGGCTCAGAAGCAACACCCAAGGATTCTAAGTATCCATAGTTGGGTTTTAACTAACACAGGCTCACCCAAATTGTTACTCCTTCCTGCAGAAACACTTGTGGCTTCGCTTGTCAAATTAATGCTGGGTCCAATATGGTTCTCCTGTGGCAATAGCCATCCTTTTCCTGTGGGAAACCTAACAGAGATGGCTGGGTGAGAATGAGTCTCAGGGGGAGAGGGTAATATTCTCAATAATAATCAATAAAGAACACAGCATTTTTCTCCCTTCTGAAATAAGTTTACCAAATATTCAAAGAGTATTCATTCTCTTGTCACTGGCTTGAGTTCATCTGAATCAAATTGGTATTTGTGTGTATTTTAAGAGTGAAGATTTTCTATTTTCTTTAAACAATCTCCATTTTTTACTAGAAGAAATATTGTGTATATAGATCTTTTAAAGTGAAAATACTACAGCAATACAAAATGTTATTGTTTGGTGACCTTATAAGAGCCAAGGCTGTCACAGTTCAGAAGATGCCCCTGGAAACAAACAGGGAAAACATGGGGAATACAGATAGCTTTACAAAGCCTGGTTTGTGCTGGCTTAAAAAAGCATTGAGTTAATATGACTCAATGCTTTTGTGTGTGTGTGTGTGTGTGTGTGTGTGTGTGTGTGTGTGTGTGTGTGTGTGTTGGGTTTTTTTCCTGTATATTATGATTTTTTTTACTTCTATTAACAGCAAAAAATTAGTTAAATACATTTAAATTGCATGTTATTATTAAATAATTCAATAACTAACATACAATATTTATCATACCTAGGAACTACTGATTATTAGCTATTGTGATTATGTTCATACTCTGACAAAGATGTCTCTGTGCCAAATCATTTTCTAAAGATCTTGCATAATTGAAGATAGTTCCAAATGATCCCAATTAGATATATAAATATTTGTTGAACTCATTAACTCATTAATAACTTTCAACACATTTCCTGATTCTGTTTTAATCCAGTAGCTATATATTAGTCACAGGCAGGTGGCATCAATATATTTTTCTCTGGGCCTGTTCCTCCTTATAATATGCATTCTACACTAATGTAAAAGCTGGGTTTTGTTGTTGTTGTTTGGATTTTGTTTGTTTGTTTTTTACTGTTTTAGGCTATGTTTGGTGATCCTTTAGGAGAATATAAACATGACAAGCTGAGATTGGAAAAGCAAGTCCTTCATTGCCATAAGTGCTATGATAATCATTAACCAAGACTGGGCTTTCTCAAACTTGGAAAGAGTGGTCCAGGGAGAAAGACTTCCTTGATGTTGGTATACATACCAGCCAACATAGAGATTTTTTTTTTTAAAGTTGCTTTTGTTTTCTGAGGAAAACACACAAGACTCTGAAATAGCACATGAAAACCTTCAAGAAGGGCTTGTTCCAAACTAACAAAATGAAGAGCCCTGGTAATCAGGCATCTGAGTTTTGTACAAATCTTATTTTGTCCTAAGGTAATGAGGAAAGCTTTAGACAGTGAGGTATAAGTAAAACTTCTAACAAAGTATCAAGTCTTTTAAAAGTCTTTAAGTATCAAGACTTTTAAAGATGGCTATGCTTCAGAATGAGATGGCAACGACCAAAGATATCTAACTAATGTGCTAGACGCCCACTCTAACAAGACATACACAAGAGAAGTTCTACGTGAGCAGTGAGAGAGAGGAGTCTGGGCTAACACCCAGCTTCTGACTTAGCAGCTGGAAGAGTGAAACACAGGAAAAGCAGGTGGTGAGAGGTGACCACAGGACGTTCAAGAGAAAGTGTGAGGCTGGAGACTGAATAGATAAAAGCACTTGCCAACTAAACCTGATGACCTGAGTTCAATCCCTAGAGCCTGCTGATGGAAGGAGAGAATAGACTTGCACAAATACACCACGGGACGCAATGGTGTCTTTCACACATACAATATTTAAAGAGGAAAAATAAACTGGCTTTGGATATATGACTCTGCAGCTCAGAAAAGAACTATAAACCTGTTGCAAAAGAATCTCTATGTAAAAGTGATAGGGCCCAGCTTCAACTAGGATAAGCTGCCTCTCGTGATCAAATCTCCAGGGAGAGGGGCTAGAGAGATGGTTCAGTGGTTAGAAGTGCTTACTGCTCTTGCAGAAAACAAGTGCCTGGAACTCAGTGGGCAGGTGCACATAAACTCATGAAGGCACACATGCAGAGAGAGAAATAATAAATCTTTTTGTTTTTTAAATCCTCAATGAGAAAGTGAAATTTAAGACATTAGGGTGCTATTGCTCCTACAGAGGACCTGGGCTTGGTCCCCAGCGTCAACATGGTGGCACACAACCATTATGCCCAGAGAGCCCAGTGCCTTCTTCTGACCTCTGTGGGTACCAGGCATATTCACAGTGAGCATAAATATATAAAGGCAAAATATTTATTCACATAAATGAATCAGTCTGAAGATGTTTTGAGAGCTAGATGCTAAAAGCTAAAATCCTGCAATGGTTACTTATTGTCCACATACTTCTTGACCCCAGATTCATAAATTCTCTCCGGGCTGCCTGTGTTCCTTTAGTAGCTGACGTCGGACATCCAATCTCACCTCTAGTTAAACAGAAAAAGAAAGCTATGGCTTCTTTAAAGGAGAGGCCGACTTCAGATAACTGAAATGTGAACATCCTTTGGACATCCAAGGACAAATTAATTCAAACTCAAGTTTGTTTGTTTGTTTGTTTGTTTGTTTTATATGCTCTTTACTTAGTAGTGCCCAACGGACACATCAGATTACTATAGAACTAGTCCTTACTTCAAAGTTTAAAATCAGCATATCTATAGCAGCATCAAGCAAAACTGGCCCCCAAAAACAGTTCAGACATTGCTATTACCAGCTAATGACTATAACAGATTTTGAGCCACCTTTGAGAAAGGTTAAAAAGAAGATGCATTAAAAATATATAAATATAGGTGAGGCATTGTGGTGCACATGTGTAATCTTGGCACTTGGGAGTCAAAGACAAGAGGACCACAAGCTTGAAGCCAGCTGGGCTACATAGCAAGTTCAAGGCCAGTGCAGGCCAAGACTTTGTCTCAGAGAAAAAGAAAAGGTTGGTTTGCAACTAATTATAAATGTGGTAGCCCTAGAGCACTGTGAATGCAGGTATGTTCCCTTCACCAGGCCCTCTGGAAGCACAGAGGTCAAGACAAGAGCTATCTGTGAATTGGATAACTAGCTAGCCACTGTCACCCTTACTAAAACAGTTTCACTGACAGAAGAATAAGAACTCAGGAAGTATGTGGCTGCTATGATGGGCTTTTATTAAAGCCCTGGAATAAGACCTCAAGGGGGAGAGTAACTAGAACACTGCAAGGAGTTGATGTTGTTGCAAGGGTTGGTGGGGGAGATTGGATGCCTCCCACTAAAGAGAAGAGTCAAGAAAGAGAAGAAACTGCAAGCGAAGGTGCACCTCTGAGGGGTGGTATCAGCAATGTCTGAAACTAAAGCTGCTGTACCAGCCAAAGCTTTGCAAGCACAAGTGTCAAAAGAGGAAAGGAGGGCTTTCTTCAAAGGTAACAGTTGACTCCAGGTGTAATCTGTAAACTCAGATGTAATTAGGAGGATCAGGTGGTCTGTTTCTCCTCCTTGGGATTTCTTTTCTGTTTGTTTGTTTGTTTGTTTGTTTGTTTTTCAAGACAGGGTTTTTCTGAACTTTGGCTGTCCTGGACCCATTTTGTAAACCAGGCTGGCTGCGAACTCACAGAGATCTACCTGCCTCTGCCTCCCAAGTGCTGGGACTAAAGGCATGCGCCACCACACTCAGCTCTCCTTGGGCTTTCTGATTCCCCTCTGGCTTGACTCCTGTCTCAGTCTGTCTGTTTCTAAGAGATGCCAAAGATGGCCGTCAGTGGCTCCAAGGGCCCATTCTATCAACACCCTCCCAAACAAGGACTCCTTTTTCAACAGGTGAAATGGGGATCTGGGAATGACTCCTACTGGGAGGGTTGCAGTCAACTCTATGGCCAGTTCATAAGCTGAATACCTTGCCCAACTCCACCTGTCCCATTGGAGCCACTGGACTGAAAACTTGGCTGCTGGGAACACCCAGGGGGATCAGCACACAGCTGCTGGAAGTAGAGACACACACTAAGCAGCCATGACAGTAGATAAAGAAGAGCTGAAGAAAGGAGACTGCCACCCGAGTGTCTTAAAAGACAGAAAAAGAGAAACGAAGTACCGCAGACAAGAAAGAAACAGCACTGAAAAGCGGGCTGGAGAGGAAGTTACCCCAATAAGAGAATTTTTGTGTTTGGCTCAGACTTGCTACCCTTACATTTTAAAGACATTTTTGTTACATAAAAAAAGACTTTCTAATATTAGAATCTCCGATTACCAGGAAGTACCATGCTATGCTCTTAACCTGCAATACATCCATTCTGGCACATTCCACTTACTCTCCACGAATCTGACCATTAAAGACTGCTGCAGCTGTGGCCCCAATTTTTGAGCTATGACAGAGTTCTTTATATTTCAGTCAAATGAGAAAGTTTTTTTTTTTTTCCTCTCTCAGAGCACTGGGTTTCAAACTTCCTCTGGTAAGGACTGACTCCTTTGAACTTTACAGGGAACTTAATGATCACTCCTGAGGATGTTCCAGTGGCCGCTTTTCTCCCACACTGTAAACAATGACTCTTCATCTTCCCATTTCAGAGCCTCTCTATCTATTCTCCATGTGTTAAATCAAAAGGACACAAAGGTCCCTCAATACGGTACCTTATCTTCGCTCCCATATCCCTAAGCATGTGGACCCAGCTAAGGTGAATGGTTGGGCACCCCAGTCCTTGAGCTCCATCCTAAGGGTTTTTGTGTTTTCGACAGCCGCTTTCCAGGATAGTTTAATAAAATGCACATATGCATCTCCCAAATAGCCCTCCTTCAGTGAGTCCTCTCATGCAGCCACTCTAGGCTGTGGTGCTGTGGAGAGTACAGGCTGGCTATACCCATGTTCTGAGTTGCTCTCCGCCTCAAGTAAAGTACTGTAGGTTCTTGAATCGTGTATGGAAGTGAACAGTTATTCCTTTATCCTTGGCAAAGCATGGGTTTGATACCACTCTATCTGCACCCCCCCTCCCCCATGGCTCTGCCAGCATGCAGGCACTCACAAGATGCCCAGCTGAGCTTAACCAGTGCCTGTGCAATACAGCCATTCTAAATAATCCTACCTACAAGTAGTTTTCAACTTTCAGAATGGCTGAAATATAGTCTTCTTAAGGTTGAACATCACTTAAAGTTCAGCTCTTAAGAAGGGTCATCTAGGGGTTGGAGAGGTCATTCAGTGTTTAAGAGCATCGGCTGCTCTTCCAGAGGACCTGGGTTCTATTCCCAGCACCCACATGGCAGCTCTTGACTATCTGTAACTCCAAGATTAGACACCTTCACACAGACATACATGCAAATACACCAATGCACATAAAATAAAAATAAAATTTTCAAAGGAGCATCTAAAGAAGGAAAAGGAAAAGAACCCCCTACTAAGCCTATTCTCCCAGAGCAATGTCTCGCTATTAATGAGGGCTAAGGTAAAAACAACAGAATCCACTCCATTGAATCTCTTAGGTCTCTTTTTCCCAAACCTAAGACTTGTAGTGGTTGTACTAGTGTTTTGTGATAGCCAAAGCCCTAAAGCACAAGTTGCTTTTGGTATAAATGCTGGAAAGTATCTCTTATTACTTGAGGGACTATGAAGGATTTAGGCTTCCACATGTAAAATGATCGTGGCCTCTTTTCTAGGCTTTAAAAGCTGACCTTCTGGGGTATACTTTTCATAGGTCAGTTGGCCCACCAAAGTAATTAAATTAAAGAGAATGGTGCCCATGCTCTTGGCTGGGTTTGGGGGTTAATGCAAAGCACTTGAATGACGAGGGTAGTCTCCTGTGCCGGCTTCCTATGGCCCTGTCTCAGCGCTCACACTCCAGCCCTGTGATAGCCTTTAAAGGGACAATGTTTCCAGTACCCTGGTGCCATGTATCCCTCAGGCGTCTGATGACAGTCCTTTCTTCCTAGAACTCTGCAGTAGCCTCACATTTGCTTCCTAGGTCAAGATAGACCCCTCTTGTCTGTAAGGAAATCTCCTCGGGGCTGCCTTGCAGCAGCAGCTCATATTCCCGCTTTCCATTTTCCCTCTGCTCTGCTCTGCTCTGTATGGAAACCATCACCTCTGTTTCTAAAGCCTCTTAAGCTTCCTAATGCCTGTGTGGATGTGCCTATAGATTAAACAGCAGGCAAGACGCATCCATCGTATTTTATTAGTTCTATTCCAGATAACCGCATTGCTGTTGAAGTTAGACAGAAAGCGTCCCCAGGTAGGACGTCTGTGGCTTGGTGCAATAGTTGGTCCTGACAGCCTCGTGTGTACAGTCACTGTAGTCAGTGTCACACCTGCCACACTTGCAGCTTAAGGCAACAGGGTAGGAGAAGTAAGGAGCAACATGGAGTGGGCATCCTGGTATTTCCACAGTTCTGTAGATGAAGTCTCTGTACGTACAGACATCCTGGGAGAGTGCATACTTGGGAAGAAATAGTTTGCCATTGATATCCTGTGGGAAGAAAAGGGATCATAACATGATAACCTTCACACTACTTCAGATAGTGCAAAAGAAAGATCATAACTTATTGATATCCCTTTGGTTCAGTGATGCACTACAAAGGACTCCTGAGCTCTTACCCAATACTAGATTAACACATCCACACTTAACTCTTCAGAGACAAAGAAAAGGGACACTTTCTTCTCATTTACCTTTGATGAGGAAAACAAAAATCTCAAGGGTAGACTGTACCTGTACTTCTTTTTCTGAGTAGAGTCACAGGATTATAATTCTGAAAACAGTAAGCTTGGCTTCCCAAAGAGACAGTACCATTGGAGTTGAAAAATGATGCTATAAATTATCTCACTTCCTTTCTAAACATTAACAGTCCAGTTTAGGCCTATATAACTTACAACTAAAAGAAATGCAATGAACAACATACCCGTGTCATACAATACCCGGCACAGATGGTGGTGTTGATGGTTAGGCAATAGGCACACTCCCTTCTGTCCACGTGCATCGTATATTCAGTTGGAATACAAAAAGATGCTGCTTGCCCACATGCAAGAGCAAAAAGCACAGAGAGCAGCACAATAGCACGCATGCTGAATCAGAGACAAAATCACAGAACTTGTTACATGAATTCATCCTGGACATTCAGAGGCATGTCTGCAGAGAGCTTATGCATATATGAACACACAACCAATAATAAGAACAGCTAAAATATACTTAATAGTTACTTACCTGTGGACCCTACATAAGGTTTTGCATATCCAACCCTCTCAAGCCTCCCATATCCACTCAAATGCAGCTAAGGCTGTGTACACCCATAGTCCGGAAGCTCACATTTTAGAGGTCTGTCTACAAGCATTCCCTGGGAAGTGATGTGCAAGCTTGCAACATCACAGAAATCTGACAGCTCTCTGTTAACTAAGTGTGAAATAATTCATTCAACGGAGCTGTAAGAAAACATCTATTGTTATAAGAAGTAAATTAATAAATAGTCTTTAAGAAGGGCTTTCCCAGAATTACAAGTTTCTAAAAATGTTGGTTCAATAGCTTAAAGGGTTCGTATAATTACAGGTTTAAAAAAAAAAAACAAGAAAAATCATAAGCAAACACTGGTACCACCCAGTGCATGTAATCTTGCTGGACACATTTAGAGTAATCCAGGCAAGAATGCAGATTCATCGCGGATGGTCCAGAGTCATCCTCAGTGTGGACTGTAGGGGAGGCAGCAGAGGGGCCGCTGAGCAGAGCGCGCATCTCAGCGAGCCTATCTAATAGAGAAGCCATGTGGTATCGTGCTGATCATTGTAACGATCTGGGGAAAGTTATGACTTATAATTATATTGGTTCTGCTACTGATAGAGAGTAGTCAAATTTCAGGCTTTAAGATGTAGGTCAATCACCTCTAAGAGTAAGAAGACTTGTGATTTCCTTTTACCAATATTGTTTACCTAGCTAGGTATGTTTGGACTTTTTTTCTTCTCAACCATCATTGTCAGTACATTTATTTATTTATTTATTTATTTATTTATTTTACTGTAAATATATATATATTTGTCAGTAAATATATATATTTAGTGAAGCAAAATTGGTATCTATAAACACAAGGATATTTGTTTATTCTATTAAATTACTACTCTTCACTGGCTGGCAAGTAGGCTCAGAAGTAAAAGCACTTGTAGCTCTAGCCTGATGACCTGAGTTCAATTCTACACAGTGGAGGTGAAGAAAACACTCCTTCCCGGAAATTGTCCTCTGACCTCTACATGAATGCTGAGGTGCCCTCCAGCACTGCCTCAATAAATGTAAGAATTTAATTATTCACTAAACATTTTATTCGATCATCAAAAAAGTATCAAGATTTTCTCAGCTCTGTCATTCATGTTGACAACAGTTTTAAGCCACATACTTTAAAATCTCTACTTACTGAAACCTTATTATGGTCAGTTTCAGGTAACCAGAATTTTGTTTTCAATGTATAAGGCAAAAATTAAAGAATTTACATAAGTTACTAGAGATGAATTCTAACTAATTCTAATTGTCAACTTCTAGAGCCATTTCAATCACTCTCTTATTTCTAGTGTGGGAACTGCCAGAATTGGATAGACATGCATACACTGAGAGCTGCATTGATGTAGTCCTTGACCCAAAGGGCCAACAGTTCAGGAGAAACCAAATAAGAGCACAAATGTAAAAGTTTTGGTTGTTTACGTTCTATGAGAAAGTCCAAATTATGACTGATATCCCCAATTATCAAAGAGTTCATAACATTTGCTACATTGTAGATAGACAAGGAAGTGAAATAAATATTTTAGGAAAATGTGTTTGGTGGTAAACTATTAACAAGGCATTACATATGTAAGCACCTCTTGTGGTATTTTTTACATACTTGAATTAGGAAGTAAAAGCATAAGAACTCCTGGTTACGTTGTTTTGTGCTCTCCCGAAGGGTTGGACCCGAGCCTCACACACACTGAGCCCCACAGCCAGCTCTACAATTAGGAAACTATCCCTGCTAAAATCATCCAAATGCCTTCCTCAAAGGACCTGATTTTTGTCTGGTGTTTTATCAAATACACACTCCCTGTAGAGCATCCACTTAGTTCTGTTACTTTAGTGGCGCAGATCTAGAGGATCCTCCAAACAGAATAGCAAGCAGGAAAATGCGAGAGAATACTCGCCCTTGCTGGTCATATACTTCTCTACCATCTTCACAGTTCTCCTATGGGTTTTTACCACAGAAAACAACTTGTAGCTCCACAATTCTATAAGCAAGAGCAGATGTCATGATCTATAATCAGAATATTGGCTCAGAACGTAAGGAACAGAATTCTCCTATGGGCTATAAGAAGCTGATGAAAACAATCTTATTTACCCAGCTGCAAGATAAAAACAGATGAACACATCTGACCCTTTGAAACATTATAAGATTGGGCTTGAGAAAAATGGCTCAGTGCCTACGTACTGCTCTTGCAGAGGACCTGAGTGCAGTTCCTAACAACCACATCAGGCGGCTCACAACTCCTTGTAACTCCAGCTCCAGAGGATCAACGCCTCTGGCCTACACAGGCACTCACACACAAGACACACGTGCACACATAATTTTAAAAATAGCAAAGTCTCCTTTAAATTTTCTAAGATAAAAATTGTATTATAACTTTTCCTCATTTTTGTCCTATTCAAGAGTGACCCTGTCTTAAGAGTCCCTTTTATAAATGTAGAGGTTTATGCTAACAAAAGCAAAGCATTGAAACACACTGGGTCATCATCACTCACAGTACTGTGAAGATAAAGACTATGAATGACTTTTACTTCCTTATTACAAAAGTGAAACTCCGTCCACATAACCTTCCTGCACCTCAATTTCCTCATCTATAAAACAAAAAAGTTTAACATCGAAAGGTCACCAGAAAAGTCTGCACAGTACAAACAACCTGTGATTCTGTGTCCAATTAGCATCAGAGCCCTGGTAAGCCTTGATAATCTACAATTCCATTCTCAGATTTAATTGTGATCATGTCTAACTAAGCAGTTCAATATCTCTAGGTCTTCATTTTATGTATACTTTCCCCTAAAAATAATAAAAAATAAAATAATTCATGTGACTCCTATAGAAGAAGATGTTCTTAGGGATATAGCACAACATAAGCCAGGACTAATACCGTCCTTTTTTTCAACATTTTCCCACTGGGCTTTTTCTTTAACCCATAGTTTCTTTCTGTTCTCACTATGCTCATTATTAAACACATTTCTCTCTGATCTGCTAATATCTATTTCCTCTCTTTTCTACTTGAATTAATTAATATACAATGAAAAGAATCAATTTCTCCATTTCTGAACAACCTCAGCATTTCACTAAAGCAGAATTATTTTTCTAAAGAAAATAAAATGTATTACATTAATAAGGTATGTATATTGGATACCATCCAAGAGAGTTTTAGTGTTAAATAACTAAAAATATCTCATAACATGGAATGTCCCTGAAGATACTTAAAATGCTAGTAACCTCTATACACACTCAAAACTGAATTTACTCTAAAACTCCCCCAAAATATATTTTCATCAAAGACGGCCATTAATAATTGCAAGGATTAAGTACACATGTTATTCAAATGATAAAGCATTTAAGCTGATATGTAAGTAGGAGAAAGTCATGCATACTGTTCACCCTTTCTCAGGAAACTGACTGTTTCCATCCTTTAAGTCAATGGAGTATCACCTCATCGCCCACATGTGCTTCTCTCTCCTTCACTCACACTACTGCCAGTCTGGGAGCAATAACCAAAAACTTTAGAGCCTAGCAAACAAAATTCCATCTGAGTATTCGCAAGTTTTAAATAAATGCAATGACAGCTAAAATAATATGAAACGATAATAAAAGCATTTCATTTTAAAGATCCTGCTCAGGGTAGACACCTACCTTACTTTGGCGAGTTAATGCTATGATGACCCAGACTCTGTTCATTTTATACCCTTCAGGATAATTCCTCTCTGATCTTCTTGTTTATATAATTGCATTTGAATTGCTGCTTTCTTATCTGAAAAGCATCTATTGAAAATTCATACTGAACCCCAAATAAAACTTGTTTAGACAAACGGATTCACAATATCCTCTCCCTGGAAACTCTGACATTGTTATAGCATGCATCTTCCTCTCTCCTGTTTGAAATATATCCTTTATTAATATCTGTTAATGTTAATAACAGATATTAACATCAGCTCATATTAATAAAGGATAGACCATAGCATTGGGGAAAGTGATGAAAAAAGTGCTGAGATTGCAAATTTATTTAGGGCTTGAGAGCTCCAAATTCCACATGTTCTTGGAGAGCTATATGCATATAATTATTCATATATAAAACAAAGATAACTTCTTCCTGGAAATCTAGGACAGTTAACCCATGTATGACGATAAAAACACTTTAGTTCAATATTTTAATTGTTTTGCTCTTGGATTTTACAGGATGTTAACATAACTTACAGTGTAAATACTTGTTTGTTTGTTTGTTTGTTTGTTTAACATGGTTAAATATGGCAGCATGTCAAATGGACCTGAGTTCAGATTCTGGACTGGCCATTAACTAGTAATGTCATCAGCATTTATGAGTTCTGCTTATTTAAGTTTTCTCAGCTATCACAAGGTACACTGGTGTGTGCTTGTAATCCTAGAACAGAGGAATAGAGAGTTCAAGGCCCGAGTGGCATGAACATGTCTCAGGGGAAAAAAAAAAGTCACAGATATCTAACACAGAACAAGGACATAAGGTATAATTAATTTACAATAACACAAAAATATTTGATAAATATTTATCTAATATCATCATTGAATGTGTAAATGGCTAGGGAAGTATGTAGATAATTACTCAATATTTGAAACTAATCTACACTTTTTCTCAACCTTTTTACCTATGTATTAATTTTACTCATTTATTCCCTTTACCCCTCTGTAACTAAAGTAAAGCACCCAAAATTTGCACTGGGCACTTCTAAATTGCCCTCAGAAAATAAGTTCAGAGCTGGTATCATTTTAAAGGTCCTGTGTGTACTCTAGCTCTCTATTTAGCCTACCCAGGCCCACTCCTCCAGACATCTCCA